AATATGCTCGTTTCATTATCATTCCAGCATTAATAAGCACTAATACGAGTACTCGTACATGTTGTGTACACTAAAATGTATAAAATTGTACATTTGCATTATGTACATATTTCCTGCATTGATGTTTATGTATCAGAACGGTGTAAATTATTCCGGGATGAATAGACTATTCAGAATAGTCATATTCTAATTTTACCAAGTTTTACCAGTTACAAAATCGATAATCACTACTGTCAACTGGTGGCGATTGCGATCTGCGATTTACCTCTTTCTGAATTAATTAATTTCATTTTGCAACAATGATTACATAAGTTTTGAGTTTTATATAAAATTTATGGCAATTTCTAAAAATATGTAATCATCTCATCCATTGCATCTGCATGTATTTGTCCGAAATTCAAATTTAAACCTTGTGACTCTCCAAGCAGAAGAAGATAACGTCACTTTTCCACATAATTATCCTCTCTCTTGACACTTGCACCACACCCGTCCATCCATCCAGCCTTCCACACCACCTTTCCCCAAACTGGAAGAATATTACGTATGCATTTGTTCCCCCAGAATTTTGAATTTAAACCGAACAACAAGAAACACGACTTGGCTATTAGACCTCACGAATAATTGATAACATGCAAATCTCACACGGAAGTGGAAATGGAGGGACAAATACAAATGGACAAGAGCACTTCATGTATTTCCTGCCATCCATCCACCCAGTTATGCAATAATATTTATCCTTCCCTTATCTCCACTTCACGATAAGTCAGACGACGGCTCCCATTATTAGATGACGTCAAGTATGTATGTAACTAATCAAGATCCAACATTTTACACCGTATTGCACTCCTGTCTCTCATTATATGAGGCATGAAACAGGTACTAAACGGGTTGTAAAAGTATGTACGTGGCACAAAATGGGCATAAAATGAAATTTCCAGTTTACTTACTCACATATTAGCTCACAATTTCTCTAGGGAGAGAAGAATAGAGTGCGTAGGCAGTGCCCGCGGAAGCGTGGGGATTGAGGGACAATGTCCCCGCGGTTATTCGATGTCCCCCTCATCTCCCCATGTTATTTAAACCTCTCCCTCCCCTATCCTACAATGTTAATGTCCCCACAGCTTCCGCGGCCACTGTGCGTAGAAGGTATAAAGTGTCATCAAAATGCAAATTTAAACCTTGTCATGTGTCTCTTTATTCCGGACGTGATGTGAGTTTGATACCTCATGAAGCGATTCACATGTTTCAGTGTCAAACGTTAATGGCTTGTGTGTGATGTACGTACAGCAGTTTCAATTAGTTTATTACTCAGTTATTTATTACGTGTCAGTCATCATACGAAGAAGTAAATGCGTGTCATTTAGACGGAACTTTAGCCTGTTAAATATTTAACTTCTTCATTATATTGACAATTTCGGATGGGATGAGAATTATAATAATTACATTGGAACAAGCGCTTTCCGACTTTCTCGTGGATAACAACCTTTCTCCATTTTCTTTAATTACGACCAAAATAATTATAACTGACGTTTAATTGCTTTAATCAAAACATTAATTATTACAGAGACACGTCGCCTTGTTCTAATTGCTCTTCCTTTAATCATATCAAGTTTCATTTCAAGGAGTCGCATATTTAATTCGTTTTTGGGATGGAAATTCGAACCCGTGTCTCATCTCAGGGTCTCACTTTATAAGATAATTGCTTTATTAAATCTACTTAATTGTTCAGTTAGTTAAATACTTATTTCTCCCACTCAGAATCTCGTTTGGCACTTATTTTGTTGATTATCCATCCGTACAAGTCAGTAATTTCATGCTATATGTACGTACGCATATCCAACTTTTCACGAACTAAACAACAGTTGCCGTCTTTTAATCAATGTCTCTTCGCCCCCTAAGGAAACGCCCCTTCGTCGAAAGAGTCAAGTGTTAACGTCGCTTTATCACGATAAAATATTCTTAATCATAGAAAAGAGGGAGGACATTTTTAGAAAATATGAGAAAACTTTCAACTTTGTGTAGGAAGGAACTGTCGGTTCAATTACTTTCTTATACTGTTACTGAACATATAAAAGATCACCAATCCTAACAATTTCCTATACAAAATGACAATGGAGGTCTCCCAGCGTATGCTCTCAGATTTTGGTCAAGTCAGTGTCAAATTGACACTGTCAATCGATCACAAATTTAATTCGTGTGAAATTTGCGAAAGACACGATCTCCCAGTGGTCACATTTACTAGAGATATTTGCATCCAAAGAGGAGAAACGCGCCATAACGTTGACAAAATACAAAATTTACTGCGCATTTTCTCCTCTTCGAATGCAAATATCTCTGCCAAACCTGGGCATTGTCGTTGGCAAATTTCATACTAATTAAATTTGTGATCGGGTGACACTAATTTGGTCAAAATTGGACAGCATACACTGGGAGACCTCCATCGTTAAGTACACGGGATTCTTGCACAAAAAAAGGATACCAATAAAATACGGAAAGTTACATTTTCGATTTTTTAAAGAATTTTACCATCAAAATTATTATGAATGATAACTTGTCCACTGTAACAATATGCACCCAACAACAACAACTTTCACCAACTTCGACTCCATGCTTAATGGAGAAAGTACAGATAAAATTCAATTGTTCGGTCACACGTCAAACGAGAGAAAGTTATAACTTTAACTTGAACTTGTTAAAGATTCCGTTTACAAAGCGGTTGATGATGATCATTGCTTTATTTAGTTTGGTGGAGTAAAAGCAGGCAAGGCGAGGCAAGAATTGGTCTCAACTGCCAAACTAACTTAACAAAGGGACAAGTCTAACTCCATTTTGAATTTGTACTGTGTGGCCCGTCTTCCCCTTGTTGTGTTGTCACTCATTCACTTTTCCTGGCATTATGGGGACGTCAAACTTACTTACTTGGTGATGGTACAGGAACAGGATAACTTTAACTTGCTCAATTCTTGGACCAATTTCATCCCAAAGTTTGGTTTCGTTGGTAGGGTTGAGTTGAGTTTGGTTTATTTGTCCTCAATAAGAAAGTAAGTATGGAAGTGAAGATTCCGTCACTTTCTCCCCTCGCTTTCTTTCTTTACAAACCTCTTCACCAGGAAGATATCGTGGAAATAGAGGCGTCTCTGCGTAGAAAATCCTGTTTTTCTGCATACTTTATACCCAGACCTTGGTGGATGTACCTTTCTGTTCTATCCTACGACTCACTAGTGCGAGTGACCAGTGGCCGCGGAAGCAGTGGGGACATGTGGGAACATTAACATTGTAGGATAAGGGAGGAAGGGGTTTATTTGTCCCTCTTTCCCACCAACGCTTCCGCGGTCACTGCGAACGACCTACGTTTTATTCTATCATTTGTATCTATATAGAAGGCAAACAAAAATAAGTTTGGCCGAACTTGGGTTGAAATAGCTCAACAACACGAACCCTGGATTGCGATGATGATAGTAAAACAGTGATATGTATCTTACAACAAGTAGTTTTATTTAGAGTTAGACATGCATATGCTCTTGGCAATTTCGTAGTGAAATAATACCAAGCGGTATTCATATAAATATGACTATACCAACGTGGTAAGTATGCAACAGTAAATATACAGATGAGGTATTAAAGTTTTACCATACCGGTAGCAAAATTTTACCGACCAGTGTAATTTTAATACCAAGCGGTAGCAATTTTAATAACTAGAAATCAATACCTGCACGACTTTATCAGGTTTCTAACAATTAATTCTCCTAAGTTTCTTCGTATTTTTTTCTTCAAAATTCCACTCTTAATATGAGCTAGCTTTCTACGAGTTGGTTGACGAGAGGAGGAAATAATCGAATGAACAAACGGGATGGAGAAGGAGGGCGAAATCGGAATGAGAATGAATTGAAGGATTCGATTAGTCGGTGGGGGACGGATTGTGTCATGACGATGTGGTCCCCAGAGGATGGGAAAACTCCTTCGTCTTTGCAACCCCACTTTCTCGTCATGCTCGTTCAAAGAGGTTTCACATCTGGTCCATCGCATTACCACCGTTCACTTTCCAAGCAGTGATACATTTTTAGAACAAAAATCCGCTACTGATTTATAAAATGTATTAACATTTTTGGGTGACATTATTACACAAAGTTTCAAGGGTTCCTTAGGGCATTATTGATACATATGTATCAATAAGGCCTTTATCCTAAAGGTGGTGACTAAACGGCTTATTAGCTACAAAATGCTACATTTTCGGGTGAGCGGAGTAAAATGCAGCAAAATTAGAGCTGTAATGCGTTCTATTATGCAGAAATGTGCTAAATATTTGCAAAAATGAACTAAAAATGAACATTAAATTTGACAAAAAGCAACCGCTGCCCCGAGTGAGACTCGAACTCACGGCCTTCAGATTATGAGACTGACGCGCTAACCAACTGCGCTACCGAGGCGGAGCGTAACTGGAGTCGCACGTTTAGCTGGACAAGTACATCTTTGCTGTCTTGCACAATGCCATTGTTTCTTAAATCTGACCTTGATCCTGCTAGTGACCATTCGTGGAGTGGCGTGTATTATGTTAGGTTAGTTTTTAACTCGATTGAAAATAGCTCATCTCAGATGGCTTCGACAGAATGGAGAGGAATTTGCATTATTATAACGCAGTTGTTTGTCTAAAACGGTTTGTCGAATAAATTTAGAGCATAGATTTATGTTATGTGCAACACAATTGGGTGGAGAGGTAATTCACGATAACAAGAAAGTCAACTTGTAAGTTTTAAATGCCCTCTGAGGATGAGAGGAGCGTATTTTATTCAAGAGACAAGTGGCATGACAACCATCTACCGTTTTATGCATACATATAATGCAACATTCTGAATGCGACATGTAAAAATTAGGTGAATTAACTAATTAATTCCTGACATTTTGAAACTTTAAAGATTTTTTCAACATGCAAACAACTAACTTGTCCAGCCACTTGTCCTGATCTACTTGTCCAGCCAAAGTTACCGGCCTAACTACGCTCCGCCTCGGTAGCGCAGTTGGTTAGCGCGTCAGTCTCATAATCTGAAGGCCGTGAGTTCGAGTCTCACTCGGGGCAGCGGTTGCTTTTTGCCAATTTTTTAAGATTTTTGAGCAAATTTTTATTAATTTTTGCAGATATTTAAACCTTCCTTAGACACAAATGTCCAGTTCTAATGTTGAAACATTTTAACTCAATTTTAAAAGCTTTTTTGTAACTTTGATTCAATAAAATAAATCCGTATCTCACTTACTATATTAAGCGCGTTAATTTTAATACGTACATAATCGTTGATCTAGATATTATTGCCCTTCGTTTAAAATGTTCCATTAAATATCCACGTTTTCAAAAAGACCTTCAGTTACACTTGTATGAGCATTTTTTAAGACCTTTCTTTACAAATCTGAATCATATTTTTGGCTCAGAAATATTTCATACATATGCAATATTTGTTAATAACACGTAAACACGGAAAAAACGTTCCCGAAATTTGGTTCTAAATATTATTATGCTCCAAAATTTATGACCTTTCTCCCCACGCATGCCACCCACTCACCCTAAAAACAGGTCCAACTTATGCATGTATTTTATGCATATTTCACTTTCACCCCAACATGCACATTATTTTGAGTCGTATAATATTTGTCCAGGGTAAAAGAAGAGGAATAGTTTTGGGTCCTTCCCTCTTCGCCGTGGTGACAAATGAGGTCCATTATTTCGAGAATTTCTTCGACCCTTGGCAGCAGAAGAGTGTGTGCATCGTCACGCTTCCTGCTTTCACTCGGGCCTCGCGTGGGTGAAAGTCCATCTTTTCCTCCGTTTTCAGGACGGGGTAAAAAGGAGGGGTTGCTTTATTCCGGAGTGAGTAATGTGGGTCCATGACCGGTATTACCATTTGGAGAGAGAGGGGGCAGAAAAGGGTGATATTTGCATTGTCCGTATTATTTATCACTTATCATGAAACACTTAATATTAACTGTTTTACAAATTTTGTTTAAGAAAATTATTGCAAGATATCAAAATTTCTTAAAAATAAGACTGCTTTTGTGGAAAAGTCGATGGTAAATAGTAGATAGTTTAAAAAAATATTTTTCTCCTCAAATTATGGAATTTCCCGACCAATGTTAAAAACAGAATTTTTCGTGTTTTTCATACAAAAACTAAAAATCGGAAACTCATCGAAATAAGCATTCATCTTTTAGAGGAAATAAGTAAAAAAAAATTAATTGGTTGATATCTTGTTTAATTATGAAGTCAAAATTGTACTTATGACAAATTTTATAGGAAACTCGTTCAGTTTTTGCTAAAGAGGTTTCTGGAATTTTTCTGCTATTTTTTTTTACAAAAAAAAACGTTACAAAATCCAAGCTGCAATAATCCCAGTCTCATTTGAACCACATGAACCATGGGATTGGCTAAAGTATCCTTTCTTACTGAATTGATTGATCGCAGATTAACCTGCCAGCCCCCAAATTGAATCGGAATCGGGGAATTAATCTCGGTTCCTTGTTTTTCAGATGTGAAACGTTAGGTTACAAATAAAATCCGTGAACATAAGAACAATCCGTCATCTTATATCTGTAATTGGGAATTATGAATTAAGAACAATGATCCGTTTACTCGAATCAATTTTACGAAAGAAACTGTTCTCTTGATTCGTTTACTTATGTACCACCTGAGATGCTGTCTCAATAAGTATTCATCATTTTAAGGCTGTAATCGGACCTTCAAAACAAGCCCTACAACAATATTTTGTTTTCTCCTTTGTTATTTTTTACATATTATTTTCTCCCCAATTTGAAGTAGGAGTGGTTTGGTTTTTGCTGGTGTGGCGGTAATCTTGAAATTCCTTCGAAAAGGTTACGGAGGAGGAAAAGCTAATGGAAAATTCATGAAACTGATGTCGCCCGTGTGTCATAAATAACCTTGCGATTGTGACACTTTAGGCACGACCCTGAAGCTCAAAAGTGAAAAGTATGTATTTTCCAACCCCTCGTCTGACTTTCTCTCCCTTTTCGAGTACTCTGTGGATGTATGTGGTGAGTAAGATGACATGAAATGGATGCACTTTTCCAGACTGTAAAAACTAAACGCTTTCTTCCCCCGTCGGTTGGTTAGTTAGGTACGTAACATTAAGAAGAAGAAGACTAAGAACAAAAAGAAAGGGTCGCATTTCTCAATATTTAACCTCCCCTACCATGTCGGGAAGAAATACAAGGAGCAACCAACTCTTACCATCATTAAGTGGCATCAGTCGCTTTTTGTGATCGTTTTGTCCGTCCGGCAGGATATCTCCAAAATGCCTCAACATAATCGACCGCCGTTTTCCCCATTGTGCATCCAATTTTTAGTTCTCGGTCGATTTTGAATATGAGGTCAATCGGACCACCCCCCACAGCGCGAGGGGGTGTGGTCTAAAATTAAGTTTAATTTGCATATGTAGTGTCATTTTAAAGGAAACCAATGCCGTCAATATTTTTGACCGCCGACTAAGCCATGACCGTGAGGACGAGGTCAAAGGGCATAAATCGCATAATTTTCATGTGATGCAATTTTACATTTTACTGTATGACGCCACTTTTTTACGTCCGTTTGACCCGGTTTATCGAGTATTTACTTAACTTCCCTATTTTATTTCCTCCTCCTCCTTTGGCACTTTCAATTACTGCATTTCGCCAAATTCACTTCCTGTTTTCAACTCCTGCAGGAATACGACGAGTGGAGAATCATGCTGGAATTTCAGGGAGAGAAAAGAAACAACTGAAACAAACTCTTACATACACGCACATTTCACATAGAATCTCGTCAAATAAAATTTTCATGGAGAGAGATTAACTCCCAAAATGAGTTTTCCTCCGTCCTTTTCTCCTCCCGTACATGCATGGCTACTGAAGTGGACGAATTGTAAATTGTCTTGTGCTCCTGAGAGGTTAAGTGTTTCTGGATTTTTGTCCAGAGGGTTTCCACCGACTGGCTACTTGTTCGTTCCCAAAACTATTGTGGAAATGATGTCGGGTGAACCCACATTAAACATAAATAGGACCGAGACACGAATCAGGAAGGAGAGAGAAGATGATCACGAAACGTTGTTGTTGAGATAAAGTTCACCATTGTTGCTGCAGACTCAATTATTATTTTGGATGAAATAATATAAATTCTATACGTGACCAATTAGTGAGAAATGTCTTATCTGCGTTATGCTTACAAATTGTATGTATACTGGTTCACCCCGCGAAGACTTTCTCAATTTTTCAGACCCATAATAAATAGGTACATATTTATTTCATGCATTTTTCCCATCACGCCATATTTTCTGCTTTCTCTCTGACCGATACAAAAACTGTCCACACTAAGGAATCTAAATTTTTCAGCTAACCGAACATCCCGTTTCCTAAGATGTGTTTAGTAGTAGTAGTAGTAGTATGGTTTATTATTACTGTGTTAAGACATAAATCATTACAATTATTTCCAATATCGAACACAGGTTGCAATAAGTCAGTATAAAATAACTAAAAATTGAATCTAATTAAGTAAGTTTAACAAAGTATGATCATTTCATTTGTGGTTTAAGAGTAAAAGTTTGTTTACAGTGAGTATTTTTGGAATACAAATTCGTCATTTCGTTTTTGTAAAATTAACTGGCGTAGGGCTCTGTTAAATTCTCCGGAGGATTTAATTTCTTTGATACTTGTAGGCAAATTATTCCAATACTGAGTGGCCCAATAAAAAAACGACTTCTTCCCTATACTTGTTTTAGGATAATTAAATGCAAGATTACCATTACTTCTGGTCGAACTTGTGACTAAAGTAAAATAGCTAGAGAATTCTTGTGTAACATCAGTTTTATGTATGATGTGCTGGAAGAGAAACTTTAAACCATATAATACTTTTCTCTCTTCAGTGTATAAAACGTTGGCAATTTCTACCCTGTCGTTGCACGAAACAATATCTATTTTAAAATTCAAAATGTTTTTGATCAATTTGTCCAGTTGCATGCAAGTGTAAACATTTGGGAAGTTGGCTTTAAGAATTTGAGTTTTTATATCAGAAAGCTGATCAGATCTGATTTTTATACCCTGTCGATATAAGTGTTTCGGCAGGGGTTTCAAGTTGTTGCTGAAAAATGCGCCACAACAAAGAGCAGAAAACGATGACTAATTTCCCGGATTGTGTATAGTTATCATCGTGGCGAGAATCCATACGTAAAAATTTCGATAAAACTATGTACCTAAACTATGTACATACGCAAATTAAAGTAAAAGCAACAAACAGTTCCATTTTTTCAACACATTTTCCCTTTCTCATACAAAAACTGTCCACACACAAATCTAAATTTTTCGGCTGACCGAGCATCCCGTTTCCTGAGATGTGTTTAGTTGCAAGTGTAAACATTTGGGAGGAGAGGAGAGTGATGCGATATGAAAGGAAAAGTCTCAAGGGAGGAGACAAAGGAAATTGCTTCGGGACACTTTTTGTCGCGAGATGATTCCGACGACTACGACGGACCCTCTTCCAGTTCAAATTCGTCTCTCTTCTGTCACCTAGTCATGCATAAAATGTAAAAATGGACCACAGATGCATATTCCATCACCACCCACCCTTCTCCCACCGAGGATAAATTGAGGCACCAATTCGTTCCTCTTCTCGACTTGGTGTGGACACAATCTCCTGAGATTTATTGGGGGTGAAAACAAGTATGAATAGAAATTTGTCAAGGAAGAGAGAAAGTTGTCACACACGCCAACAAGGAGAGAAGAAGATGGACGTGGGTAGAGTTGTGGTTGTTCCCATGTCCAGGACATTTATGGCATGTCAAATTTGCCCTGTATTTAAATTAAGGCCTCTAGAAGGCAATATTGTACAAAATGGACAGGGATGTTTATGCCGTGCTCAAGAAATGCTCGGGATTTATTTTCATGCCATGGGCACTGTGCATCTTTATATTTATGGCATGTCCTAATTGCCATGTATTTAAATTAGTGCAGAGAGGTTGTACAGATATTTATGCCGTGGTCAAAAATGCATTTATTTTCATGCCAAGGACATCAATATCATTTATACCTAAACCACTTTTATTTATTTATTTTAAAACATTTTCGAGTTAGGGAACGAACTAAATAAACAATGTAATCTATTTTAAAATACGGATATACTACTCAATTAATTAATTCATCTTTTAAAATATTTAAATGCGTAACTCTTCACACACAAAAAGAGCAAGTCCTACGACGTTACTTAATATATTGCATTCTGTAATAATTAATAGTTTAAAACATAATAATACGATTGCATTCTTGATCATTTCCTTCAATCCAGATCATTTTCACTTATTACATACTCTGTAGAATAGCACTGCTAAAAAATGTGTACTGTAACTAACTCTAATTACATAATTAATTGGATTGAATACTTATTATTTACATAATCTAAATGTAATTAATTGTCAAAAAATTATGTATGTAAATATTAGTCAGCTCGGAAAATTGAAATTCTCGTCGACCAAGTGTATTTCACCTTCGACCCGTTTTTCAAGTTGCAATTTTTCTGAAAGTACGGTTTCAACTGGCTCCATCGGATCGTATAGCACACATTTGCGGAGGGTTGCTCGTCGCGATAAGGCTGCACAGGAATGGTCCATTGGAGGTCTGGCGTTTTCTTGAATTTATTAAAGAATCCCTGCAAACAAAACAAGGGAAAATCTGGATTAAAGTCACGCCACATATTTAACACGGGGTAAAATATCCCGTTTACAGTAAACGAAATGTAGCAATAGGGTGAAACAAGATTAATTTTCAAAAATTTTGTGACCACACCCTTTGACCTCGAGGGGGGTCCGATTGACCTCAAAAATTGGCATGATCCTCCCCCTGGGGTCATATGTACTATGCCACAAACCGATCTCGACTATCTCGATCCGTTCTCCCGTTAACCTGCTGACGGACAGACAGACAGACGGACAAATTCTTGTCTAACATGGCTTCACTCTATAACAACGCAACGGTCCAGCTAAGTAAATATTTAGCGCTAAAATTCATGCAAACTTCCGCACATAAATATTAACCAAGTCAATTGCTAATTTAAGCAGCCGCTATTTCGTTAACCGTCCCGTCATCCAATTGAGGTCAACAGTCTCCAATTTAAATTCAAATTAAATCTATAACTGCGAATATAACTTTCTCACGAGGAAGGTTAACGATGCAAAAAGATGCAAATCGAAATTGCACCAATTTCACAATCCTCTTTTGAATGGCCGCGTTAATTTGCAAAGTTGGAGGTGAATGCAATCGCACAACTTAAAGATAAACTATTTAGTTATGTAAATGTGTAAAATTATCCAGTATGAACTACTTCAATACTTGATCCTATGTAGTACCAGCCTGTTCTATGTCATGTCATGCCATGCCAAGCTATGTGCTCAAGTGTTTATTTATGGTATGCAGCCTAAAATAACTACATCAACGACGAGACGCAATTTAAGATCGGACACATAATCAGCCAAAATTCAGTGTACATAAATATTTAGTCGGTGATGATATGCCCTGGAATAATCACGTTTACATAATTAATTCATCACCCATTTAACTCACCTTAGATTCCTGCGAGTAAATTGTTATCGTGGTTAAGTAACGTTTCGCTTCCTCCTTCGACCCGAGGAATGAAATCCAGCCGTGGAATACTCCTGGGAATTATAATTAATTAAAGTTCTTATCGATTTTGCACGCATTTGGTTTGACAGCTTCCTTATTTCGCAAATCGTAAAAATATGTATTTGCGTACCATTTTCATTGCATCCTTGCGAAAAGAAGTAGCGTCCACCTTGACATATGTAGTCAGGAAGATATGTCCCATCTAAGGAGGAGGAGAAGATATCGTCATAAATATTCGCAATTTCTGGCATTTCATCATTTCATCCACACCATGGTTCTTCCTCCTCTCATTATTTTGCTACATATTTGCATATAGAATTTTGCATGAATGTATACAAGTCAAGTGCATGGCAAAAAATTTACATGATTCCCATCAAAACAGTTTTATCTCTAGTTTACATAAACACACTTCTGTTAAATTGAATTGAAAATCTGGCTGGATTATTTACTTATTTTGGTGGCGTGGTGTGGTCTGCTTAAATGAAATGTGTGCAAAATTGAGTGAGATTGACCCCTTTCAATCATTTCGTTCGTTATCCGAGAGTCGGGACTAACTATCATCGCAATAACAAAATGCGGTGCTGATAATCGCTTAATATTCGTACTGCATACATAATTCGAGCCGTAATCAGAATAATAATGCAATACGACAAAAGACACGGCAAATCGGCGTAGTGAAACCCCTTATCGTTCACATTGTGTAGCAAATCTACCCAAATTTGAGACGCAGTAATAAATGTAAATTAATTTGTTAGTAAAAACTGATTAACCATTTATCAGATGTAAATAAATATGCCGTTGAGTTGAAGTTGAAGTTGAGCTTAAATTTGGGGGAGAGGATGGTTATCTTCATTTCATGCCATGCCATGCCGATTTTTGTGTATAAACAAAGTATCACATCTCAATTGTTGTTGTTGTGTTGTTCAACAGACGATTTTTTCCGTTCTGTATGAGACCACATATTTGCACATATTAAATTAATTATGCGTGGCCAAAATACATACATAAATAACTGTAAAAATTAATAAAATTTCGAGACAAAAATTGATTATAAAATCATCCTCATTCATTCACGCAAGCACGTGCTCGTCTTCCATTAAATATGGAAATATGACCTTATTATTGAGCTAAATCGGGGAGAAAAACACTTTTTGTTGCGGATTGCAAATTTTACATAAATATGGAAAATGCAAAGTAAGAAGAACAATGACACCAGAGTGACAAGCAGTTTTGGGGATAATGGTAAAATAAACATGGAAAGAAAGTGGTTGGTGGTGTGACTCAGGTGTTTAACTTGACAGCAGATGCTACCACACAGAGTATACAGCTTTTTTATAAATTATGTCGGTGTGTGTGCCCTGAATACCGAGTTTAGTTAGTCGAAAGCTTAAATATTTATAAAGCGTACGTAAACGTATGAAAATGAAAACGAAATAATAAAATCACTTGAGAAAAATAAGGAAAAAAAACTCACTCTGTCCAAAATGTTCCTTGTCACATCCATTTTTAAACTCGTAAAAAATCTGGTCATTTTCAAACCCGAAGGCGGCTGAAATTTCAAATTTGAAAATTTTTTAGTCATCGTAAAGATGCTGATTATAAAAATAGAAGACAATACAATTTACCATGCCGCGTTTTGAGATGATTGATGAAGTTGGAGGTTGGAAGGATAACCGGCTTTGGACAGTAGGTGCAACTTATGCTTCTGAAATTCATGAAAAAAATATGGAATTCTCTCAGTTTACGTAATATTTATGTAACTGCACTTGAGTGAAATGACAAGTAGGTAGGTATCTTATAAAAGCATAAAATTTGACAAATGTGGAGTGTCACGAGTAAAGGGCGGATATGTATTTATTTACGGAAAACATTTACGAAATATGCAAGAAGCAAATTAATAAAATAAAAGTTGGTATTTCTGAATATAATGCACTGGATTTTTTGTAGTCGAATTTCTTTGAATACAAAAAATTTCAAATAATGCCGGAAATGTCTAAAAACCTAGAAATGTGGAATAATATTTCTAAATATTTATAATCTATAAAAGTTAGGGAATACACCACAAAGTTTAGCGTCGGTCGTAATCAAATGAAAAAGTTAAAAATAAATACATATCCGACCTCCGCATCTCGTGTGACCGGCATCTCAATGAGGACGCCATACATTTCTTGAAGAGAAAGGTTCTACAATTAAACTCACCTTGAAACATCGAGATCTTCGAATTTACTGTCTTGTGCGGAATTTTCTGAAATGGTTCCTAAATCCGAGTTTCTTCTCAGTCTTGGCTGCGATGAGCGACGGCGTTTGAATCTCGTGAAGCAGTCTGAACATGGAAGTGGATCCTTGAAAGCACCCGTGTGATTGTTATTCGGAGGAAGAATCTTTTTGCAGATCGGACACTTTAATACTGTTTTCCCACCCGGCACGATCGGCACCCTGTTCTCGTCGTCACTGCAAGAAAAGCATAAGGATGAAAAAATTTGCAAAAAAAAAGAATGCAAAAATTTTCAAACTAAAAACTACTTCAAAAGAATTCTTACATACCTTAAGTACTCGTCGTCAGACATGATGTCACGTGTCTTTAGTAATTAAATTAATCTTCCTCGTTATCCAAGTCACATCTAAATTCGCAAAAAAATAAATATGTAAAGTATGTCACTTGTTAATTATTCGCCACTTCCTCCTTCCTCCGTCTGACTGGACGGTTGGTTAAAGTTAAAATTCATCCCGATTCCATTCGTTTCAAATCATTGCATAATTCTCTACTACTTTTGCAACTCTTCCTTAAGTGTTGCAATTGCAAAACCAAACAAGCCAATAATACAAATATAATGGTTCAAACATTTAATAGTTGACTGACTGGAAAAGTTGAGACTTTTTGTACCCAAGTCCAACCACATACGTACATACAATCATCCTCCTTTTACGTACGTATGTATTGTGTTACGTCAAATAACATAAACATCCACTCACTTACTACAATTTCCATGCAGTTTAGAGGAAGAGGAAATAAACAAGTTCGTGTATCTATAGTCGGCTGTTCAGTTCTGTACTAGTGACACAAAAACTTAAACTATAACCAGTCTCACTTTATCGCCACTGCTGCTTTTATTACGTCCAAAAAACACCAGCAGCTTGAATGAAAATGAAATGCAAAACGCCGACAAAATAAATCATACAAAAGTCGCCTCGTTTTAACTGATCTGTTGTAAAAAAATGGTCTTTTAGCACACAGACACACACTGCGAGACTAAATAATAAGTACTAAATAGACAAACAGTTTAATAATAATCGCGACTGGAAATTTCCTGGACTATTTTATGCACACCACACAAGACAAATTATAGTAACAAGTAGTCCCATTCAGTACACATCTAAATTAATAATGCCAGCGATGAATCGACTCCGGGTACAATGTGGCGTTTGTATTTTTTACTATTGTATTGTTACACACCACCTACGACGCAGATACATGCTGCTTTTTTTCACTCCTTCATGTATTCAATATGTATTATGTACGTACAATGATGAGACTGTTAAAATAGTCGGCCTGGCCTCGGTGTTTCCCGGCGTTTTAGAGAACAACGATAAAAAATAATGGAATGTGATGAATTGCAGTAACTTTCCGTGATAATTAAGTAAAAACAAAAATCAGCACTGACAAGTCTTCAATACTTGTTAAAAATGGTTATTTATCATAATCTCCAACTGAGATTGAGCAACTGACTCTTTGCTTTTCTGAAATCGAACTGAGATTGGTTTTTTAGTGGTCATTGGTCAACCCGTGACGAGTAAGGAATACGGACGGACTTTCAGATCTTTCTGTGTGCTAACTCTGACTCAAATAAAAATTTAAATGTAAGATGAGTTCCTTTGAATTATAAATTATGTATAGCAAAGTAAATCTGCTGCTTCTTCTCTTGTGAATAAAATGAATGGCAATTCACGTCATGTTTTCTTAAAGTTAAATACATTACAAAGTCAGTCAAGATGCTTCATATGCACTCACTCACAATATGCAATTCAATGAAAGGAAGGACTTCTCCGTATAATAATTGAGTGAGATGAGATTAGTCAAACTCAAATTGAACGAGACTCGTCGTTTGTGCCTCCTTTTTCACACTGGCTGACTAATAATTTCCAAATATGTACTCCTTCACCAACACGAAGAATCAAGTACGACATGCAAACTTTTTCCAGATCAGATTAGATTAGACCATTCTCGGGTCCAGAAATAAATAAACTTCTTGACTTGTAAATTGATTTAATTATTTGCACTCTTAGAAATCTGGGATGAAATCAGTACTGACCGGAGTGCATGCATAATTCTACCGGTACTGGTAATAACGGGCATTAGTAATGTCGTGGTACTGAAAAATTTACCACTCAGAAACAAACTACTACCAATCCGGTGATAAGAAGTTATTACCAAATCAATACCAGTACGGAGTATATATGCGACTCTATTACCAGATTTTTAACAGTGTATCTATTTACTTACATGTTTATTTGCGGCGTGTAAATTACTCGTGTAAACTTCCCCACAGCGTTTTTTTGCTATTAAGAAGCTCTCAAAAGAGTCAAAAGTCTCAACTTGACCATTTAGCACTTTATTCCCCCGTCGTCTCACTCACTCCAACTGACGATTAGTTTTAGTTTGGTACTTGGTGGTGCAAAATCGGGATGGGATAACTGCACTTGAAACTATTTTAGTAGATGCACTTGCTTCTTTTTTATCGCGCAGTTACATAAATTCAGCTTAATTTTTCTATCGATATTTGCAAAGATATCATTCATTCATTCGCTTGACTGATTTGCAGCTTAACACTTATGTATTTAGCTTTTGTTAGTATTATTCAACAAAGTCTGGCTGGATTTGGACTGACAAGTGTTAAACCAGTGAGGAATTATTTATTAAGTGCAAAAATGTGGAGATTCAATAATTTCATCGACTCCAGTGAATTACAAAAGAGCGAATGATGACTGCCACCAACTAAACTAAGCACATTACGCGTTACATATTTTATTTAACCGGTACGATACCGTGCAGAGGATGCTGTTTACATGCGATCATACCGAGTTCTAGGTCTCTGTAGTAGGAGGTTCAGTTGATAACATTAAACAGATTCCGTATCGCCATCATAATAATAACCAAGTGAAGCTATGTATTATATAAGCCGTCTTCACCCGGTAGACCAGACCACACACTGCATTAATACTGCTTAACTTTACTTAAATATACCCCCTGATTTACCAATAGGTCTAAGAAACTACGCAATTTCTGTGGGACAGAGGTTACGTAAAATATTATGCAGGAGACCTGGGTTAGTGAGTACTATTTAACAATACGTACTTTTCGCTAGTTAGTGCACATGGGGGCTTGGCAGTGTACCATAGGCAATAGAAATAAGCTGCGTTTTATTTACATACAAACTCACTCCTTCTCTCCAAAACATGATGATATGTACGATCAATTTTGCAAGGCTGCTTTTTACCCAGGAAAAAATGCAACATTATTGGCACACACTAGATGAAACTTTCAGACTCCAAGACAGATTGACGAAAGGTTGAGCTCCGTTCTACAAAAAGAATGGTTAGTGCCGGGGGCAAAGTTTTAGGTAGTGGATGGACAATCATGTTGTTGATACAGCAAAAAACATGTACGCAAAATCTAATCAGCATCAATGGCATTTAAATTCACATTATTTATTTAATGAGCGCTGAGATGAGATGATGCGGGGTACGTAAAGTTTATTTATTTTTCAGGGTTCACGGGAAATCTCTCACAACATCGACGGGTTTTACAGCGGTGTGTACACACATAACAAATTAATGACAGGTTATATTTTTTTACGATTATACAAACAATTTGAGAGAGAGAGAGAGATGCATAATAATAATTTTGACACGACATAACCTTGAATTTGGCAGGACATTTTTAGCCCAGAGGTAAATACACGACCGGTGCCGTCGTGGTGGTACTTTTGTAAACCGACTTGTGTCAAACAAATGTGTTGCATTTTAAACTCGATCCACCAAACTCTGTTTTTTTTTATCCTGAGCTGTTTCCGATAAAGAGAGAGGATCAAGGATTTTTCAGTTATTATTAAATGTCAAGTCCTTGATCGAGTCGAACTTGTTAGAGGATTTTATCTCTAAAAATAAAATGAATGCATGCATTCCAGCATGTAATGCAGGAGATGATTGATAGTTATGGGGATGTGATTGGTATCATGTACACACGAATTATCGCATCATTGATGATGTGTTATTGGATAAATAAGTAACTGGATGATGGGGACACTTGATGTGTTTATTTTATGTATAGTTAGATAAGCACGAATTCATACTGGACAGCATTTACTAAACGAAACATACCTGCACAGTTGGTTAAACAATTAATTACAGAAAAAACACACACACATAAAAATGTATTATTACCCATTCAGTAAAATTTTAGTGCAACATGTGTGCACGTTATGTTTGTAAATAGTTATTAGTTCGTGGAGCTATAAATGCAATAATTATTATGATGTCCGAGAAGAAGGAGGTATCGTTACGTTAAAATAATGCATAATCATCACAATCCGCAAAATAATCACTTTACAACACATGACGTGTTCACTTTACGAAATTAGCATGCTTTGAAGGCCGTACAAATTATCCGGGGGATCAATAAATAAAAAGTTTGCTAAATTTTATTCTGTGGGAGTGGTTTTGCCGTACCCGGAATACGCATTTAGAAATTATTTTTACACCTTGGTTCTCATCCAATTTACACCTTTTCCAATAGTCAACAATGGCCAAGAAGACCAATAATAATTGATTTCGACATGTTCGTCACTACATAAATTTTATGATGATGATACATTTCTTGAGTAGAAATAAGCGGTTTTCATTCATTAAGATGCAGTGCAAATTACCAGTCAGAATGTGCATGCTATTCGGAATGCGCGTGTAAGCACCAAATTTTACGAGCTACCTCAAATTACTTGCTTGAATAGAATTCCCGAATTTATTACGATAGGCGGAGGAACATGGGTGTGAAATATGTAAATAGATCAAGATTGAGCCATAATAAACGACGTACATGAAACTGGTTCCCGTGTTGATGGAACGTACAAGTTAGTGACTGACACATCGTCATGTGGTCCATCTTCCTGTGTGTGTCCATCAATTCACACAATTTCTGGACGAGTCCGGCTTGACCCAGACCTCGCTTTCTCGTCACTGATTTGTTTTAGATTTCTATTCATAACGTGAGTCAAGCTAAAAGTTGCATAAAATTCAGGATTTTAGTAGAAAATGTTGATTTATGATGACAAGACGACATTTGGAATTTTCCAGAAAAGTGTGGTGACCTCTGACACTTTATTTTGATGATAAAACCATACTGAAATGTTTACAGAGATTTGAATAAAAAGGGTGATTATCTCTTCGTCTGTTGATGATGTAATCTATTAATGATATTTTACTTCGTCCTCTTAACGGCCTACACGTGAATTGACAAAGATTAGCAAATTATTATGCACAATAACTTCTTTATGAATTGGCATGTGCGTATGTTTGTATAGCCGCAGTTACATAAATTATTTGTGACGACGTCCATGACCAATGTTCTTTCAAAGTCAGGAAGAAATGGACCCAGAAAATGAATCAAGTGTTTATAATAATCTCACCCAAATAAATATTTGTAAAAAAAATAAGCAAAACATTTTTTCCGTTATTTTACTCCTTAATCGCTCAGAATGACGTATGAATCTTGAGATGAAAAAATTGGAGGTGATGAACGTCGATAATGATTTATTTAGATTATAATAAATTGTTTTTATTTTATTAGATTAATAAACTTGCCAACAATTATTTTCGAAATGGTCAAAATGCCATGGATAGAAGATAACTTAACTTGTGATCTCTCGGATGTACTCAAGTTCATCTTTCTCTAATTAATTATTATAGATACCTATTATGCGAATACTTTATCCGTCTCTCCGTCCGTCCGTCAGCAGGATAAAGTGTGAAAGCATCGAGATAATCGAGGTCGGTTTCCGCCATCATATATAAATATTTATGAGCCCCAACTTTTGTGGCCAATCCAACCACCCCTCTCGAGGGGGGTGGTCACATAATTTTTTAGACAATTATTCATTTGTATCACCCTATTCCTACATTTCGTTTGCTACGGTTTATTAATTCTCTACTACCACAAATAAATATTAAGTTCATGTATGTGCTTATTGTGAGAAATCGTGTCTTTTACTGTAAACACTTTTTTCCCCAACAAGGAAAATTACTGGGACAAGTAGAGTAGTAAAGATTGTGGAATTGCCATTAAATTCACATCATACATATTAAACCGATAAGATTGTGACATTCTGCTGATGAATTTATGTATGAGACACGCGGAGAATTTTTAAGACAAGGCATCGACAAGTTGCAGTGTTTTAGAGGGTGTAAAAATCATGCTTTTTTAAATGCTAACTTTTTGTAGCCTTCTTTCCTTCCTCAACGGTAATCTTGTTATGTAAATGTTATGAAGGGGGATCCCTCTCACTCATCTAAATGAGACTTTTAGCAGATGTGACAGAAAGCAGGACGTGTTACACAAAATCTCCGAAAAATCGCGAGAGTCGGGATCCTCCGAAAAATTGGGGTTACACGTTTATCTAAAAATAAAATACGGGATGCACCCTTCTTCTCATTTCAGGAGATGCGTTTTACATACGTGCATATGCATTTACGATCTTTTAGTCAGATTTAATTTTTAGGAGTGAAAAACCGGAAAGAAATATGATTACTTCAAGGTGTAGTTTTTCACGAATTTTTTGAAACGTTAAAAATTTTGAGAATAATATGTTGACAAATTTGCAAAATTAAATCATGTGCAAATCGGTCAAAGGTGCGGCTTATTTTGGATCAAGTGTTCATATTGTGAGTAATATTTTTAAAATACAAAATTTCATAAAATATGCGAAATACTTTTAATTTTTCAGGTTGCCGCGTTCGTATTTTTGGTTTGGTTTTTATTTGACACTGTGATAACTGAGGTTCACATAAATCTGTGGAAATGTCTTCCCTCCGGAGATGTACGTTCTTTAAAGAAATTTAAATATTAAAAAAATTTATGAAGATCGTAACATTTTTTTCACACGTATGCAAATAGGACCCTCCACGGAAGTACAACGAGTTAGTGCATTATCTCAACTTGCCGTTTAAATTTTTGTACTACACATGCCTCTGTGTGACCGGAGTGTACATTTTTAGAGGTGTTGAACGCGTAAGTATTTTCAGGATGATAATTGATGTATAGATCATAAAAGTCAGTATGAAATGCAAAAGACACGATATGCCAATGGTCACATTCGGTGGAGATGTTTGCATCCGAAGAAGAGAAAGTAAAGCAGTAAATTTGGGAAGTGTAAAATTTGCCAATGCGCGTTTTCTCCTCTTCGGATGCAAATTTCTTCCCCAAACGCTACCGGTCATCCTTGTGATCGATTGAACATACGCTGGGAGACCTCCATTACGATTGACAATTAATTTCTCAATTACATCCTCACACATTTCAGAACGCACCTCGCGTCATAAAATTTGCCCTCTTGGTCTTCGTCATCGTGCAAGTCATCAGTTTAGCCCTTTTCATTACAATCAGTCTCAACTATTGGGACGATGAGAATCACAGTAACGGCGAAAGACTTCCCGTCGCCGCGAGTCGACTGGTCGATCCGAGATCAATCCCAATCCAGTCCTCCTCCTCAGACCCCGACCAGCTCTACGAAGTGGTCGGCAGTGACGAGGACAGTGGTGAAAGTTACTCCATAAACATTGAAGTATTCAGCCATCCCCCGGAAGTGCATCACAGTGGTACCTTGGACATTGTCACGCAACGTCCAAGAGTCCAACCTGTCAATTTTAATAGTAATAATCTTAACAATGGTGACGAAATTGGTGGTGGTGGTGGTGGTGACGACGTTTCAAAAAGCTCGGGATCTGGACCGGAGAATTTAATAATTCGGACAGCAACCAACTCCACCGAAGTGACGACGACGACGGAATCGCCCATCGGCTTTGATGTCATCACAGCCACCACCACAGGTCGAGACTACTCATCGTCATCCTCCTCGAACGGTGACGACGGCGTTGTCCGCATTGTGCATGACGACGGTCGAGAATTCCTAACGTATCCCTCGGCCCCACAAAGTATGCTGTTGGAGCCTGAATCTGATCCTACCAGTCCGACCTTCGGGGATGAATTCACCGCAGTACTGGAACCTCCCACTCTGCTCCCTCCAATCACGACGCCAATGCCACGCCCGGCCGATCCCGTTGAGCCGGACGTCGTCCTGGTGAAAGTTGTGCGGGGAGGAAAAGTCGCAGAGAGAAAGTTGTCGCATGAGCAACTGGTCACGCTCGTGTTTCAAGTTCTGCTCGTGGGTTTTAACGCTGTGGGAAGTGTTCTCTACGTCGGAGTACTAATCGTCCATTTGACCACGCTTTGATGAAATGATATGCAAATTAGCACACTACTTATTCCTGGGGATACGTATTTATGTATTTATGAATGTGGAAATAATTGAAATAAAGCAGTTTCATAAGAGAGAAAAATTTTTATTTGACCACGATGTAAAGTGAGAATTATGGAACTTGCATATTACGAAAAATTGTGAGAATGTTGAGAAATCTGCAAAATTAAATCATGTGCAAATCGGTGAAAGTATTCACATTTTATATTTTACATTTTTATATCGTGAACCATATTTTTGAAATTCAGAATTTCAAAAAACAATATGTACTCGAAATACCTTTAATATTTAAATACAACAATTTCATAACTGGAAAATTTATATTTTACCACGATGTAAGGTGAGAATTACGAAACTTGTTATTATCTTGTTCATATTATCAGTTACGTGTTAAGTGTCATTTATCATGTCCGTACATATTTACATGCATGTCAATGTCCTTGTTGGCGTTGAATTTTTTAAATCTAAATACTTCCTGGCAACTTCGCGTCAAAATAATCTCATTGAAAAATACCCTCATCTCAATCAGTACAGAATACAGTACAATTCAATTCATAAAGAATCATAATGACAATATTTTAATCGTTCTTTCTGTAAAGTGCGAAATAAATGCTCAAGTTTTGCATACAATAAGGTATACCTTATTGTAAGAACTATAGTTCTTGTGCGCGCATGTTTTATTAACCTATGTAGTTTAAATGGCGTTATGTAAGAAATCCAAAAATTTCTCAAACAACCACTCAATATTATTCTGCAGCATGAATCATGAACTCAAAATTATTAGTAAATTAACAGTTATTTAACAAAACCCAATTATCTTGCATGATTTTCATAGAATTCTGAATAAGGGACAACAAGATAAGGAAAGTACTTTGTTGTTGTTTCATGGACTGGGATTCAAACAATGCAGCTAGTTTTCAAACAAATGTTATCATTGACTTAATCTCACTCTGATTTCTAAGAAGTCGCTGGTGTTGCTTACTGTTCAAATCAGTATTTTAAGAATAATAAGTTTTATGAGCTATTTATTTACATAACAAAATTGTGCAAGTTACGATCATCGCATAAAGTAAAATTAATTGCATAATGATTATTCATACGTAAAAAATCATAAATATTTTCGTATCATGACTTTTCTTTTCTATAAAAAAAAACTTAAAAACACAATTCCACAGCCTCCGCAAAGAATCCCAAGAAACTTTCCCACCCTGTTTTCTCCTTATCTTTTTTCTCACAGGGATAATAATCCACAGGGACGACGGGGTTCGAGTACACCTTGATTCCCCACCGTTCTTTAAACTTTTTCAAATCCTCGAGTTCGTTACAGGACGAGTTTTTGATCTTCATTTGACCCACGGCAGCCCTCAAGTGCTCCTTAGTAATCAATAGTATTCCGAGTGTTAGTTTTAATTTGTAGAAAATTACTAACAATCAAAATTTTATTGATTACAGTGGCAATGATGAGGCTCGATTTCATCACGTCTTCCTCCCCGGGGTCCAAGTTGATCAAGTCGAGATCCTGGTCGGACGAGAGGCCGAAATAACTGCGGACAGCGTGCTGAAATGAATCGACTGAGCAGTCATGCAAATCCTTCCATGTCGCCCTGAAACGTTAAATGCGAATTTCGGGGGCAAGAAACCACTTGCAAGAAATAACGACAAGAAAGTGGTTTTTTGCAGGTATTTTGACCTGCAAGAAATGCAAGGTGCAAGAAACTACGACCCGCCGCTATACTTCATGCAGCGCGTTGCTACTACTGATGGCGCATATTTCTTGCACTTTCTCCCAATTTCTTGCACCTTGCATTTCTTGTCATGCAGTGAAAAAATGTAGAAAACCCGCAAGAAACAAGACACTACCGAATAATAAAATGCAAATCACGTACATAATCGTAATTAAACTTGTTTGCTTAAAAAATTTATGAAATATATCTCACTTTCTCATGGACGGAAGTTCCACAATCAGCTTGAGATCGGCGTTGGACATTTCATAGGATTTTTTCAATTCGTTCTCAGTCCTCACCTCGGTCAAAAAAGTGTCCAGCAGGGTCGCCCTCGCCTCATCTGTTGGCCCTGGAATATGAATCTTGTGCTTGAACAGCGTCAAAATTTTGTCCCCAATGGTCCACGGCTCCGTGGCGTGGACCACGATGAAGACATTCGCCCGGACTGTGGTCACCAAATTGTACACTTCTTTCAGTATTTGTTCCCTGCAGTGGAGCGAGAAGAGCAGGTCGTTGAACGACTCGATCACGATGACGGCACGTTTCGCGTCCCTCGCCTCTTGGAACACGTTCTTGACATAGTCCGGTTTCGGGCGGTGTTGGAGGGCTTCCCATTTCAGGGGGAACTTTTGAACGCAGTCGATCTGGTCCAGCACAGTGTCCAGGAGGTGTTCTCCGCCACAGTTGGGGGGCTGGGGGAGGGGAAAATAGCAACCTTAGTGTCAGTGTTTCGGGTGAAAGTAACCACTTCGAGGAAATAACGGCAAAAAAGTGGTTTCATGCAGCTATTTTGACCGGCAAGAAATGCATGTCACAAGCAACTACGCCCCGCCGCTATATTTCATACAGCGCGTGGCTGGATAGCGCATATTTCGTGCACTTTCTGGCAGTTTCTTGCACATCGCATTTCTTGTGCTTTTTGCTTTCCAGTGCAAGAAATGTAGCAAACCCCCAAGAAACTTTTTACACACTTTTTAGTATAATTTGGTATGAAATAATTTAAGAATTCAATTTTAAGATGACCTAGCTTTCTCCATTAAAATTTTTAGAGAAAGTTGTATTCTTATCAAATAAATGGCATGTATGCATAAATTAATTAATGAATGCCAAAAACTGACCCCAAACAGCAGGATTCCTCCCCCAGGGGGGACCGGATTAACGGGCGAAGTTTCATCCCAAATGAGCGTTTGCAACGCTACGGCCAACTCGTTGAGGGGCATTTTGAGCCCAAACTTGACCAGGTCGGCAGTGCTGTATTTTGTTCTTCTTGTCTCATCGTCCATCTTGGATTGATCGTGGGAAGGCACTTATTTTATTTTTTACAAGTAATGTGTGATGACGTGCCAGGAGAAATGAGACGTGGAATTAAATGTGTAAAGAGAACCGAGTTCCTCTTGAACTGATTATTAACTGAGGAAGCAAGATTACCAAATAAAATAATTATGTCCCTTTGACTAAATAAGTGTATAGGAAAGGATATCTGACAACCATGAGTGTCAAAGTGCATTGTGGGTTGGAATTTTCTTCATTTGAAATTCTTTCTCAAGAATTCGTGTCCATGTTATTATTTGAAATCGGACCCTAATCATAACATTTATTGCGACTGACTGGCTAACTGGCTGGGCTAACTACTCGATATTTTGCAAGCCCAGCTAAAAATATAATAAACATTCAGCAATTCGCATTTAACGATTATTATCAAATTAATTAGCCATTTGTTTAAGGTCGGCTATTTTTCTTGGCGTGATTTTTGATAGGAAGTTTATCATGTCTTGAACTCATGTTCCAAAAATATGAAACCGAATCCTTTACATACATAATTACAGATAATATGGTAAATTTAAACCAGTCGTCTGTCTCAAACGGCCATGTCAAAAAAATAGTTAGTTGCATATGTACATATCTAGATCATCATTACACTCTTAGAAAACTGGTATCAAATAATTACTGACCAGAGAGCACTCTACTCTACAGCATTTCTGTCCGTTTAGTAATGTTGTGTTAATGACAAATTTACCAATCAGAAACAAACTACTACCAATCCAGTAGGAAATTATTACCAAATCAATACCAATACGAAGTATAGTCTGACCCTACCAGATTTTTAACAGTTTGCTTAGATATTATTATACGACGAAAAATAATAGTAATAACTCCAACCAAACGGCCATTTCTTAAAAAAATAGTTAGTTAGATCATCTTACTCATTACTTATTATTACACTACAAAGAAGATGAAAACTAATGACTCGTCAAAGTAGAAATGTCCACAAATTTCGCCTTATTTAACATACATAATATCACCCCTGAACTCGTTCTTATTTGACTTTCTACAACATAACAATTTCGTCCTCGCAAATGCACGCCGACCAATCGACCGATTGGAAAAATGGAAAGCAAACAAACAGGAGGTTAGATAACCAACCCTTCTTTTTCCTCCTTCTTACACATCGACATGCAGGTATGCTATAAAATTCTTGCAAATATTACCACCAACCTGCCCTGTGTCAACAAAACACATTTTTAAGAAGACAAAGATTTACACAAATCCTCAATTCAAGCCTCATTTCACGTTCGTAGGTATGCAATGCATGCAATCCAACGACCAAACCGTCATCCAGCAAAATAGATAATCCTCTTATCGGCACGTTGCCTTCTGTGCATTGTACTTATTGCTTGCTAAAATCTTGACGGTGTGTTTTTTTTATTTCATCCAACCGATAAGTTAAACAGCGATAAATTCCTGTAATTGTTTGCCCAACAGATTTTTCGCATCGTCACGACGAACGAAAGGCAAGCCATTAAGAATAAAGTTGTTTAGTTTTCATCTCCTCTCCTCAGTCAGCGAAATGTGACACGAACATTGCCCAGCAGACGAAATTATTTAGACGCCTTCTTCTACTGGCTGGAATTGAATGAGCTACTCAACATATTAATTTAAAGTGAGTCATTTTGTTCAATTGTGATGAATTCGTTAACGCTTTTTACGACCTCGTGTTGCCGGGTGTGATCAGATATCAGTTTACAAAAGAGGGGAGGCAAGAAGTCGTCCTGTGGTTGTGAGTGAGTGATAAGCAACAGAAAATGGTTTCCAAGAGTGTTGTGAATTTAATCCGGTAGTTAAATTCCAGTCTTTATATACCAACCAAAGTTTGTTATCTTTATCAATTTCTTCCCTGTTAAAAAAATGAGACTTTATGGTCCCGGATTTGTTCGTGGAGAAATAAATCTGTCATGAGTTTGGTATTACACAATCAAATCAAGCCTTAAGCCGGGCATGACCAAACTTCACGTTGACAAAAAAAGTGGGTGCCGTTATTTGTTTCTGTTGATGGGATGTTGATGACAGTTTTCGTTTTTATTTCCTCCCAAGCATTTCAGATTAAGATTGTTGATACGGTGTTAATGAAATCGGAAACTGGGAAGAGGCAACAACTTCATTTCGTCTCCCCTGTTTGAGTACCCTCGGTCGATCGGTGGGTCGGTAGAAGGCTTAGGTTTCTCAAAATCTGCTGCCTGCCTGCTCCCCGTTTATAATAGAATACGTGAGATTGAGGAGTATCAAGGTATCAAGTGACGACGACGCTTGAGTCGACTCCTTGTTTGAAAACGTACAAATTAACTCACACCCTCCCCGATTTTCGATTGGGTTTAGAAGAATGCAAAGCCTTCTTCATTCCACTATATTGATTACAATGCAGTCGTAAATCTATGTGTAGGATGAGTCAGATGTTATTGTTTCTGAGTTTTATGAAATTAACTGAAAGGGTAGCGGAATTTTCTGGCGTGACAATTATTCTCTATTTATATATGCATAATAAAAAAACCCGCAGTAAAAGCAGCTTTATTTAGCCTGAGTCAGATTGTTATCAATAATTGGGTGGGTTTATAGGGCCATTGCAACTTTTTTTAATTTATTTATTTTTTACACATTTTTCTCATATTTGAACTTGATTCCAAATTTTGTTCCATGTGTGAAAATTTGAAGTCGATTGGATAAGCTTTACGAGGGTAATAATCGATAGACATACAACCATGATGGGTACGTAAGCCTTAACTCAGTCTAAAAATGTGTAATGACACCGCCATTTCTAAGACTTTTGCTCTTTCTCTAGTTGGAAATTAGACAAGGGTCACCAGTTCAGTTCTGATAAGCAATTTCATGCAAGGTTGAAAGTTATATAAAATTTTAAATGTTCTCATAACCCAAACAAAGAGAGAGTCTACAGATTAAATATTTAGACCACGATCAACTAAATATATTGTCTGGATGGATAGCTCAACTTGACGTAAATCTCATGCACTTCGTTCCTGTCCCCCAAAAGTATATTGTGAGGATTTGCTTGCAGCTCTGTACAAATCCAAGCTTTATTTGCATACGTGGGCTGGATATGAATAGTTTGGTCGCTTTGCTAAGATAAATACAGACTCGATTTAAATTTAAGACTTTTAATTTAACCCTTGTAGACATATCGTGATTGCATGGTCAACACTTCTTTGACCAGGCGATGAAGAAGAATTGGCCACGCTACGAGGACGACTCAACGCAAATCTTGTTATTAGAGTTGCACCATTGTTTTGTTTGCTCAGGATTCCTCGGATTTATAGTTTATGTACTTACTGGTTGGTTAGAATTGAAAACTTTTATAAGCTGGTCGTAATGGGAGAGGGATTGAGGCTCAAATTCAATCAAAACATGGAAAATGTAAACTAAACCGATATTCTAGAACTTTACTCATCACGAACAGTGAGTCAAATTCAATCCGTCCAATCTGGAGAGAAATGCGATTGTAATCAACAACTCCATGCAAACAAGTCCATGTTAAATGTGCATGGATGGATGGATTTGGTCAACCCAACCGTACAGACAAGGTGGCTATTCATTCAAGTGAACAAATAAAAGATAGTCAAATAACTCACTAATAGATAATCATTGCCAGATCGGTGTATAAAATAACTCTGATAACCACTTCCTGTCCCTGGAATTAAATTGTAGTGAATGACTCAAAAATTGTAGTGTGTAGTGACGAATCGACTGAATTTTATGGATTAATACGTAAGAATTTTAGTAATTCAGAGTAATTTTGAGAATACGAATTGTTAAATCAAGTGAACCACGCCTACACAATTATCAAAATGAAGAAACTTCAAAATTTTTGGGTAAATGGAATCATCCCAATTTTCACAATGTTACTTCTTCTCATCGCTTCTGCAACTTCGGGTAAGTTGTATTTTTATTTAAGAATTAATTAGCAGTTAATTAGCAATTACAATCAGTGAAACTCAAATTCTGAATGATTAAAACATTTAGTTTGAAAATCTCAATCCTAAATAAAATGAGTGAAAAATGAGACAACACACACAACTTGACACAACCTGCGTACATACATATGCACAGCTCAACTCTTCATTCTCTTAATTACCGTAATCCTGTCTTTTTAATGCCAACAACAATTTCAAATTAAATGGTACAACAACAACAGTAGGCTGGCCTGGACAGAACAGAACCCGGTTAAGCAATTATTGTTGATTAAGAGAATGATTATAATTTTAAGGTAAGCACTTATCTCGCATTCAATCTCCTTACCCACCGACTAATTCCTCGAGACAACCAACCTCAAGTTTCCAGTTTTTTTCTACTTACATACAATCCGCCATCATCTAAATAGATACGTAACGTAAAAAAGTTGGGCAAAGTGTGGAAACTCGTGTAATCGGCGCCCTATTGCCAGTTTCATGAAGAAAAATCCACCCAATTTTTATTTAATCCATATTTTCCAACTTTGCTCACTCCACCGTCTCATTTTGGATTTCTTTACCCAATTAAAAAGTCAAGGAATGCATATCTATTCCTCTTAATCAATCTGATTATTCAGGTTTAATTGAAATTCTAATACATAATTTATGTCATGCTCGACTCCAGTCACACCTTCAAACTTTTTAATGAAATTCCCGATTTGGATCACACCACGTCTTGTTTATTGTCACATCAGAGAAGACATGCCACTCACTACCGGATAAATAAACTTGGCAGATTGGTATATCGATATCATCTTATCCTTCACAATCCTAAGCTGGATTTCCTAACTCCGAATGTGACGTGATTCATTTAATTGAGTTCTGAAGTCAGTGTCAGTCACAATTTGAATCCTTTCCATTGTTATTTTATTTATCACCCTGGATTTCACGTTGGTCGGCATCATCCCTAAATTATAAATGTGAATATGTTGTTATCGATTGAATGAATTAACGAGAGGTGAACTCAACTCGTACCAAAGTCATCATCATAAATCCTGTGCTCAATTCAGTAGCAGAATTGAATCATGTCCGTCCGCATAATAAACTTGTTTTTATCGATTAAAAAATCAGATGAGATTAGGACGGAGTGATTTTGAGTGAGACGTATGTAGCTAAGGATAAGCTGACCCAGCACGGGATCAGTAAGTAAGTGGTCAAGGAATAATAATAATAAGCTGTAGGTTCGTATTTATTCTTGCGTGCATATTTAGATGGATGGATGCAGGTTATGGATGCCCTTTAATTGTGAGACGTTTAATGAGACGGGTGAATAAGTCGGTCGGGTGTATAATTTCAGTCCTTTTTTATTTAACAACTTGATTCAAATCCGTGAAGGGTCGCTAGGTCAGTAAATAGAATAGAAATAAATGCATATGTACATATTATGAACACGGATTTGACTACTGGATTGACTGGACTGGACATTTGAAATATTATTGAGATTTTACATACACAGTTGGTGTGTTGGGGTGTTGAGCCAACAGTAATTTCCTTTTGTTTGTGCACCGACATTTTCTTAATAACGCGTATATTAAATATTTAACTACCACGAAATGAAGGGTCGGTGTTGTTACGACATGATCGTGTTTCCCAAATAAAATTATGCCCTCATTTATTTAATACATAATTTTGTGGATAGAGATTGAACAAAATGAAATGAGGTCTTGAATAAGAGAAAGCTGAATCTTGTTGCATTTGGATTTTTTAAACATTTGGGTTCGTGTTTAGGAACGATTTTTTTTATCCGTGTCGAGATTACGAGTAAAATAAATGTTAAGAACCAGTTTTATATACGTACTGTATTTCAGGGTTTCTTTTATTCGAGTGTCTCTCTTATTAATAAATGTTTGACTGTGGTGAGGTTTGATCGTATGAATTATGTAAGAAACTAAAATTATGATTATGGGGTTCGCACCAAAAAAATGTTAGATTGTGCCAGATTCGGACTTCCTGTAACAAATGGTTTATTCGAAACGGCAAAGTTTACGTTGCATTCTTTCAATTATTTCACTTTTATCGAAAAAAAGTAACAAATTGTGACGCCAGTGCGTGTCATTTTTATCAGAAATGAACGATAAATATGACATATCGTGTTCCTAGATCAGGGGAAATTTGTGAAATTAAGCTGAATTCACTACTTAATTACAGATTGTCAACTGCCCAGCACTTGGCGTGGAACGTGGTTCCAACAGGAACATTTTGAAACGACCAGGATCAAAATTGACAACTCGTCCATTAACCTTTCGCTTTGGGACCCGGACAATCACTTTGTCAACCGTGAACTTTTAGGATCATGTGTAAAAAAAGATGAGGATCTTTACATATTTGTGTAAAAACTATACAAAATTGTAAATTCGTAATATTCAATAATTTCATACATAATTTGTACATATTTTTTATGAGCAGAGACAACATAAGTGGAAACTGTACAAAATGCGTCATCATTAAAGACCTGGATACAAACGTGCTCAACTACCGACACAGTAATATGTTAGATAATGAGATCAGAGGTCAACGCCGACCAATTTTGCTGCTGCGGCGGAGCCAATTTTTGTGATTTTTCGGCAGCGTCAGCAGCGTGGCGCGGTGTTAAAGGAATAGGAAACCAGACTTATCTGCGGCGGCGGCGCGACCGGTTTCTTACGGCGTTGACCTCGGAATGACATTAATTGTTTGGCGTTAATTTAATCAAACTAATGTATTTTAGCCGACTGTCTCGACGATGGAATTGACGACATTGACACATCTTCTGTAAAAGACCTCTGCACCGGACTTCACAATGTAGACATGGATTATTACCTGATACGAGACCCTTTCACCCCTGTTCCGTGTCCGTTCAGGTAACCAAAAAAGCAAATACTCATGATATGATTATGCAAAATTGTTTATACATTATTAAATAAAGGCAATTCAATTCTGTAATAGTGGATACAAATTTCATGCAATTTTGTTCATATTTAAAGAATTGACAAATACACAGAATGAATGCACAGAATCACTACTATTTTAGTCACTCGGCTGTACATATTTATAAGTCATTGCTAATACATATACAATGTAAATCGCTAATTGCATAATACTTTAAAATGTGTGTCCTTCATTTTTTTTTACAGGAATGAAGCCTTCCTTTTCAGCTATGGCAAAGAACTCAATAAAGATGCTGTCTGTCCATCTAACAAATCGCACACGGAAACCTGCTACGACGACACCCAACTCGTCTTCAAGTATGAGGCGTGTAATGATATGAATTACGAGGCGAAAGGTGCTCCAAGATTTACATAGTTAATTTTAATTGGAGTCAATTAACGTTAATTTGGGTATTTTATACGCAAATCCTCCAGTTGAAGAAATTCAGTGTGTCGGAGCTTGGAAAGACGTTGACCACAAGTACTTCATCGCAACCGTGATGGACTCCCAGAGGCTGAGATACGTTTCCGGAATCTACCGCTGTTTCATCTACAACGAGATCAAGGACCCCGTCATCCAGTCCAGAATCCGTCCTGACGAAGTGGTCGGATACAATGTGTCCGTCTCCATATCGGAGACCGCGACTTGTGCAGGGCTCCGAAATCCTACTTCGGGATCGTTGTCGCTCACCTTATACGCAGCACCCAAAGACCAACCCCCGTGTCCGTTTCCAACCTGGCTGAACACAAAAACAAGTGTCTGGACGTCTCTGGACCATCATTTCACCCTCAGCGGGACAGAGAAAGGGTCCGAAATGTTGTTTAAGGACTTCAAGGACAGCCGACGTCGCGGTGACCCTCACAATTTGGGAAAGTTCACGTGCCTCGAAGCCGTTCAGAGTGATGGTGATGATGTTGTAATTCTGGCGAGAGAAATTATTGGATGGTAATTATTTAGTAATTACAATTTATTTTAGTAACTTCAGCTCGAAAAGTATTTCGTTTCTTGCCGGTTTGCTTCATTTTTTGGACTTCTAAGCAATAAGTAAACGTATATAAAAAATGCGAGGTGCAAGAAACTATGAGAATATCTAGCCACGCGCTGCATGAATAAAGAGTTCAAAATAGCTGCATGAAACCCCCTTGCCGTTATTTCTTGCATGTCGTTACTTGAATGCGAAACACGGAGCTCTAATGCTACATTAATTTTTATTTTCAGTAATGGCCAAGATGTCTGCATCACGTTGAGCACAAAGTCGGACTCCATCTCCAACTTTGACCTCCACTTTAAGGACGACTCCTTAACTCAGCCCGACTTTAGATCGGCCTGTCTCAACAGGACGTTTTTGGACAGTGTCACGAACTTTCAGACTGACCACAGGGAGATGACACTTATCGAGGAGAAAGCAAAATCTGAACCGTGTCCAATTTCCGGGGGTTACTTACTATCCGGGTTTTACAAGCATGACAACAAATACTTGGGGAAAGACTGCAAATCGAGCAACCCCATGATGTGGCCCCCTCAACAAATGCTCGCTGGACAAGGCAAGTATCAAGACGTGGTCAAGTTTGTTAGTGGGGACTGTCACGCGGGTGACGAAGAAGGAGAGCCGGGTCACAAAATTGCTGGCAAGTTAAATAATGGTTACCTGACTGTTATACTTAACAATTAATTTTAATTGTATGCTTTGCAGTCGCACAATGTCTCGGATCATGGCAAGATCCCAATAACACGATAAACCTTATCTTGACCTTCGTCACTTCAAATGATACCGTCCCGATCCATTACTGCTTCAGTTTTGAGGGGAACAATACCAGCGGTTACATCCTCGTCCACGCTTCCACCAAACATTGTCCAGGTGTGAATCCATATCATAATGAGCTTGCATTCTACATGCACAACTGTGGTGAGTACCTATCAAAATTATTCGAGTTTATAGAGATAGGTGGCAAGTGCGGAAATTAATTTTATGGCGTGATACAGGCGACTGCGTCGATCAGGATGAGATGACGGAATCTAATCGTTCTTTGAAGCTGGGCTCATCCGGAATTAGTCCGTCCTTCCCGTCGTCTCGTGTCACCATTGTTCTCGTCCTCATGGCATCGTTCTTTCTGCAATGATGGGATGGGTTGTGATGTGGTCGTATTTCATTTAAATGTACTTGTGACAATGTGTCACCAATTAATGGACTTAATTAACTAGTTATTTAGTGATACTTAATGTGAGACAAAGGAGTTGCAATTTCTAATCGAAAATATGTATGTATTAGTCAATTAGAGCTTTAAAGTGCCTGAGCTTTACTATTTACTTAATGCGGACGCTTAATTGCTGTGTAACGCGAAGGGACACATGAACTGAACTATTTTTATATTTGTGAGAATTGCATACATAAGTTATCAAACTCTAGGTTGGATTGTGATACTATAAAATGCATGTAATTGCTGAATTATTTAATTTAGATAAAATTTGAATTCGTGTAATTTACTTGTGAAAAGCTGTTTAATATATATCGAAATTTCGAGACCAGTCCGTTCCTAAAATGTGCGTACCTTACCTTGACTTTGTATTTCCGTTCAAATAATAAACATTTTATGTCGACAATACTTGGCAAACTTGATTAATTGTATTGATAAACATTCGTCAATTGTTTTCCAAGTCCCATTTATTTATGCATACGCAATGAATAAAGTTCTAAAAGTAATCAACTATTTTCTATCGCATCCACTAAGAATTTTACCTTTTTCGCAACATATTTAGTTTCTTGAGGGGAAACCAAATTCGCGATAAAAATGTCAGACTTGGTCATGCTACTGGTGAAAGGTGACAACTTTTACCTATTCGTTTTTTGACCTGAAATTCCGCTTACAATCGAATTTGTCATATTTCTAGAGTTTATATTTGCTTCGTTGGCAGTCATAACCATGAAATTGACCTCGTTCCTGGCTGCGATTAATTATTCGACTGACCTGGCTACTAATCCAAACCAAATTGGAGATCAGGCCATGCGATATGACTTTATCATTGGTAAAAAAATACGTATGTAACATATTGGTTTCCGAAACTTTTATTATTTTTTTTGCATCATTTAGTCGGAGCTGGGTCTAGTGGAGCAGTAATAGCGAACAGATTATCGGAAAGTGGCCAATTTAATGGTGACCCTACACTTTTTCATACTTAACACTTACAATTAGTTTTTTTCTCTTCAAACGTGTTACACAAATTTTGAGGTATATACAAATACACAATTTGTGTATATATTTGTGTATTTACGTATATTACCTCAAATACCTCTAATACCTCAAAATTTCGCAATTACGTACATAAAGAATCCACAATAATATCGACGTCGTACGAGATATTGTCCAAATTGCCGATTTTTTGCAAATTTTGCAAATTTAATTTTTTCTCGACAACCACAACTCGTTAAAATTTGATTACAAGTTGAAAAATGACAAAAATACAACACATATAGTTTTTTATTCGACAGAAAGACTCAAAATGTTTTGATATGAAATTTAGTACGAAAATATTTGTACTTTTCTGCTCAGCAAATGCCAAATACATGTGTCGGAAATCGGAATTGTACAATTGTAAAGGCGTACAAATACTTTAATTAACAAGCAATTCTAATTTATACGCTATTATGCAGTGTTGCTGCTTGAAGCGGGCGGTGACCCGTTGATAACGGAAGATGTTCCGTACTTATCCGGGCTAATTCTCAATAATCCCATGACCGACTGGGTCTACAAAACCGTTCCGCAGAATAACTCATGCTTAGCATATGAAAATAATGTAGGTAAACTGGCACATTTTTCGCAACAATTAGTATCCAAATTCTTGCTCCAATATTTAGGTAACGCCATGGCCTCGTGGAAAATCGCTTGGTGGGACTTCAAATCTGAATCATATGATTTACATGCGCGGAAATCCGAAAGACTTTGACAACTGGGCATCCCTCACGGGCGATCCGCAATGGAAATACGACAATGTTCTCCCCTACTTTAAAAAGTTCGAAAATTATGATGGCCACTTTCCCAGCGGTAATTAATTACTTAAAACGGAAGTCTCGCAGCGTTAGCTCTCAGATTTTGACGAAGACGGAATTAGTGTCAACCGGTCACAAATTTAATTGATATGCAATTTGCAAAAGGCATGATCACCCAATGTTTAGGTTTTGCTTGGCAGAAATATTTTCAAGAGGAGAAAACGTGCAGCATATTTGGAAAGTGCAAAATTTGTCTACGTTAGGACGCGTTTCTCCTCTTTTTGATGCAAATATCTCAAGCCTATGCATTGGGAGATTGTGTGTCATGAATTGAAAGCCAGTTTATATTAACTGCTATTTGTTGACATTTTAATAAAGGATTACTGAACTTGACTTGATCGATCCTTTTGTACATTTCATAATAATTAAATTTGTGACCAATTCAAAATCGGAGAGCATAAGCTGGGAGACTTTCCTTGTAAGTCAATAAATTTTTGTAATTATAGATGAATACCACGGGAAAAATGGCCCCATGGAGGTCAACACCCAGTCATTCGAACCACAAATGGAAGACTGGATAAAATCTGGAGAGGAGCTCGGGTTCAAAAAGACGGATCCTAATGCCAGACAGACTTCCGGTTTGTTAAGTATTTAAACCAAATGGAAATTTAAAATTTCATCAGTTTTTACCTAGGCTTCTTCCCATGCGATTTTACTTTAAGCAACAGAAAACGATGGGGTGTTTATGATGGGTTTATAAAACCTGCATTAACCAGGACGAATCTAAAGGTGTATCGATATGCTCGCGTACTAAAAGTAGGAATTTTATGACTACTTATTGCACTTTCAAAGATAAAATAACGTCCATCTTTCATAGATTAATTTGGACGCTCAGAACCAAGCAACGGGGGTAACTTATCTCCGACATGGGCAATTAGTGGTCGTTAATGCGACGAAAGAAGTGATTTTAAGTGCAGGAACGGTAGGATCTCCACATTTGCTTATGTTATCCGGCATTGGTCCTGCTGCCCATTTGAAATCTGTGAAGGTAACGATTACACCTTCCCAGCGACTGCTTGTTGAGTTTACATGTATTTTAACGAAAACTATGTCAGATAGAACCAAAAGTCGACCTTCCCGGTGTCGGACAAAATCTTCAAGATCACGTTAGCTGCTTATATGGTCCATTTATACTCAATTCGACCGAGTCATTCATTATGTCGAGAGATCTGAAATTTTCGTCCCTCATAGAATATGCCACTCTTGGAATTGGTAAAAATATGTATTTCCTAAAACGATAGGATTTTAGTTTCAGCAGTTTTGGACGTGCAAAACTACTTTTGATTGAATACCCGTCCAAAAGCGTCCACCACTAGAAAATTGGCTAAATGTTGCAAATTCTTTATTAACAACTTTTTCCAAATCTATGCACAGATACTTCCCTCGAGTATCTTGGTTGGTGTGTAATACCACGAAATTTAGTAAAACTTTTGTCTCAATATTAGTCAGTATGTTTTCTTATGAGAAATTAAGAAATGTTCTAAAAACCATGCCGTGTTACACAGCAAAGTGCTCAAAATTAATGGAGATCACATGTACTGATCGAAACATTTAATAACGAAGAACTTGAAACATTTTTCCCCATTTTGTGTTTTGGAAACATAAGTTTGATTATTTTGATGTCCAAAACTGGTTAAAACCGGTTTTGGACAGTGATTAAAACCACAACAAAACGAGTTTATAATCCCCTCAGGTCCACTCTCCTGGACCTACGTCTCCGGGCTGGGCTTAACTCACTCTTCGCTGGGTGACCCTGACTGGCCTGACCTCGCCTTGACGTACATCCCGTTGGGAATTTACCCCACAATTCATAAAGACGTCGCTGCATTTTTTGGCCTGAAGGAAAGTCTCGTCAACGACTACGTGTCAGACTTTCACGACAAGGATGCCAACTTTATTTTGGTGTATAATGGACTGCCGAAGAGCAGAGGGAGCATCACGTTGAGAAGCAGTGACCCCTTTGATGCACCCTTGATTGACCCAAAGTACTTCAGTGATCCAAATGATATGAAAGTCATGATTGATGGTAAAAAATCCACAGTGCAGACTTGTTTAGCCTGAGTCAGGTTGTTCAAGTAGATTATAATTGAGGTGGGTTTA